ACGTCAATAATCGTCGTAAAGAGGAGTAATAGTAACAGTATTATTAATGCTTACTTTGGCATGGTAAAGCCGCGGCGCTCCAGAAAAGCCAGCAGCCCACAACATGAAGGCTTATAACTCCGAGTATAAGATGCATTAATGCTATCGACATCGCAAAGGCACAGATGAAAGAACCGAGGCTGAAAGAAAATATTTGCTTGTAATTACATTACACCAATAAAAATTAAGAAAAGAAAACATTTCGGGCTGGGTGGCGTTGTGTGCGAGCACGCGTGTGTGACATTAATGTGGCGCCTGTGCGACAAACTCGTGACACATATGTGACATGTGTGTCAGTGTAGAGTTCCCATAAAGGGCACACCACATTCCAACCTAATACGGTTCCCTGGTCTCTTTAATTTCTTGGAAATAAAATTAAGTTTCCCGCCATTCAAGACATTCGGAATAGTGCCCGCACGTCCACAGCTTGCACGTGGGTGCCTGCAGGCACCCAGCAACAACCGTAACACATTCCAGACTCACTTCCCCCAACGTCAAATACCGAGCCCCAAAAAGGCCACCAAATGCTCGCAGTCGCCACAACCCGAAAGCCGGAAGAAAACAAAAGTTTACTGGCGGTGTTTTCGCTTATTTTGGCCCGTTGCCCCTTAGAGCTTCGTTAGACTGCCCTGTCACCTGCCCGTCATCATATAGGCACATAAAAACCAAAACCGCGAACGGGAGTATTAATCAGAACGGAAGACGAAAGCAGCATGACGACTCTGTTGAGAAAACGCGGGACGCACATACGGCGATGTCTCTGAAAGTTTTTTTTTTTTTTTTTTCTCTTTTTTCCTGTCAACGCGCTTCCGTTTTTTCTTGTCTTTTTTTTGTCCCTCATAAGTGCATGTTTTAGATTCCTCGAGTGCGTCTTTTCTTTTTCGACCACGAACAGCGGACTCATTAAAAGAGCGTCTTTACCGTGGAACTTGCCCAAAATAAACCTGCCCGGTGCTCTGTGCATAAACACGCGTTTTCGGGAGTGCGCGGAGCCTGACGCTTGCTGGTCACTTTGTAGCGAGGTACGTAGGATATGTTTAGTATACTTAGCCGGTCGGCGTTCACTGGGAACTTGACCCTCTTAAGACTATGTTTGCTTTCTGTTTTTCTTTATTTTTTTTTTTAGAAACTAAAATACTGACCTTCCGTGAGTGCTCGATGCTACTTCATTTTAAGTATAGCCATAGCTAATTTGAGCTTGACCTTGCGTACGGTCAAAGTCTGAAAGACCGATTTTGTCTCCAACCTCGCTCCATGTTTGTCCCTGCCTCTCGCCTCTCCTCATAACTGAGAGTGTCTGATTTGCCCCGCTACCATTGCACAATATTTTTTTTTCTATCAAAGCTCTCTTGTTTTGTGTGTGTGTGTTGGCACTTCTAATGCAGTGCATTTTACCGCGTCTAGTCCGCACCTGGCGAGTTGTCCGCTCGTAAAAATGTCTCATACATAGCAAACTCTGAAAAAATGCCCGCTTTATTAACGGACAAAGATGCTTCATACAGAAATCGTCATTAGCATAATCTGTCATTCAAAAACTTTGCCACGACTCCCATCGTAATAAACGATCTAAAAAAAAAAAAACAAAAAAACTTTCAGCCTTTCTACTTTGGTGAAGAAGGAAGGCCAGCGAAGCTGCACTATGGTGGGAACGAAATAATGGCCGGCCGCAAGTCGGCAAGCCAGAGAGGAAAGATTCGAAAGGTTGCCGCCATCTATGAGCAATTGCGGCAACCAGACAACCGACAAGCCGGTTGTCTGGATGTCGCCGTCGTTGATAGATGGCGGTAGCTGTCCAGAGTTTCGTGTCATTATTTGTTTGCTGATGGACACGATCTTGGGGAAACTAGCCCTTAACAGCTCCGCTGTAAAAAATCATTGTATAGTACGCACATGCAGATATACCTCACGAGATGTTTACTTTCTAGCGTGTCCGCGGACCAGTACGCTAGAAATAAAATCTTCGTAGCCACCGCCCCTTAATTATTTATTTTAGTCGCATGCTATCTTTCCGGCAAGCCTTGGCATTGAGAACACAAGTTGTTGGGCTGCTCTGCCACATGAATCATCAAATGGAGAAGAGAAGCGTACGTCTAGCTGAATTAACTTCCCGTTCCGGTGCATTAGAAAGTGTGGATAAACCGCCATTTGCAGCTAAAAAGATTGAAATTAAAATACTGGGTTTTAGTGCGTTTCTTGTACGTTTTGTAACCCCAGGTTTTCCACACCCTGGCCAAGTAGAACTGTGTTGCGATGGTTGCATGATTTTGTTTTGTGTAGTATGTTTTCTGTTGAAAGTATCTTTTTTATATATATTTCGACCACGGCTCACTAAGATAGCAAGTCCCTGATGTTAGGTCCCTAAGGCCATCGCACAGTAAAACTTATTTATAGTGGCGCATAGTTGCCAAAACTATTGCGATAGTGCAAATTCGGTAAACACGTAAAAACACGCAAAAATTTTTTTTTCTTTTTTTTTTTTGCGGAAATCGTCAAACGGTTGTTCAGTTTCATTCTGAAACACAAGGGCATTGCACGTGCGAGGACAGCTCATTAGGCCGACGTCACGCTGCTTGTGCATTTTTGCAAAAGACAAGTCTGCATACAGATTCAAATGCGAGTCACCGCGAGATCCGTGCTTCGAATGCCGCGTGGCATTCGAAGCACGCATGGCAATGAGAAACTTGGCACGCGCGGCGTTCGGGCCACATGATATTGCGGTGAATCGTGCCTGCCAGGGCGACCCCGGTTTTACGGCATAGGAGTTGAGTCAAATACACAACTCTAATCTCACCGAACTTTTTGATAAAAAAAAAGTAATCTAAGAATATCAATGGTAACTAAATTCGCCGGTACGCGGAGGAAAACGCATTAGCTTTGCATACTAACGAGCTAACTATAATTTTTTCAAACGGTTCTCCACAGATCTCGGCTCAACCATTCTCCCAAAATTAAATATTTTATTTACTTTCTAACAACCTCCTTGGAAGATCTTTTTTTTTTTTTCTTTTTTTTTCTTAGACAGGGTTTGTAACCAGCCAGCTTCGTTGCACAACTGCTGCTGGTCTGCATTGTGGGAACAGTAGTTCTTTTGCACGCGCCACAACCAGGGCGTACTACAGGGAGGTGTGCCGTCCTCATCGGCATCTCCATAGGAGCTGGGTGTCGAGTGACCCGATCCTGCCACGGTGGAGCGTGAGGTGGCGCAGCCAGTCACAGTGGGGCCATGACGCCGGTCAGGCAGCGTTTAGCGAGGCTGACTTGGGGCGTGTTGGTGTGAGTATTTCTTCTCGGTTTGCGTTGTGTGTGAAGCGATACAATATTGCGTGGCTGCTAGCTGTGTCAAAGAGACAAGGGACTTACAGCGATGCAAAAAAAAAATTGCGAAGAAAAAGACGGCGCGGTGCTGTTTGGTGCCGTGGTGCAACGTTAGTTACAACACGTGGAAAGAGAAACACTCTTTGCTTCAGACTCCGAGAGACGCCTCTTTATTCGCAGAATCAGATCGTCTAATTCCTGAAAAAAGGAAAAAAAAAAAAAAAAAAGAATGTAGAGAAAAAAATCTAAGAAGAATGTGTGACTAGTGCGACATGGGATGGCTCTTCAATAAAAACAGCAGTTGAAGCTGTTCCATTTATCTTGTCAGTCTTGGTGCTTATTGTCATATCATGCATGCTCACTAGATGAAATCAATTAAGACATATCCTGGTCTACAAGCTTTGGCTGCGAATGCAGAAGTCAAGAAAAGCTCGCTTTCATTAGTTGATGCTATACAAAAAAAAAAAAATTATTAACACCAGTACAAAACCTACGTGTTTAAAGATCTGCCAAATGTGCAGATACAAAAAAAAAAAAAAACTAAAAGAGCTTTGACATTAAAGTGGAGAGGGAAAAAAACATCGCATAGCATACGATACTCAAATTTCGCTTTCTTAATGATGGTATGTAAGGTGAGATAAACAATCATCCTTCTCCACCAAAAAACAAACAAACAAAAAACAAATAAAAAAAGAAGAGAAACTATGTAAGTAACTGGCTCCTCTTAAAACGGCACTTGGGTTTTGAATATAAAGCTTCTGCCCCTCGCGCAAGTCACGCTTTTTCACACAGGTGCGATATAGGATGGAACTTTTTTCTCACAACCGAGCAGGTAAAAACCAAACGAGGCACACGACCATTTTCACGCCAAATAAAGCATCTCTGCGGCGACCGCCGGCCTCTCTCAGCCTTCGGATGGCCGCGCTCTGCCCCACAGCGCCCTCATCGGCGCTGTGGGGTAGCTGTTTCGTGCACTACCGCCTTCCTTTTGTGAAACTATACACCTAAGGCGGCTTCACGCATGCCTGGAACGCTTTGTGAGATTGGTGTATTGCTCTTGGCGAGAAAAACAAATTCGGTGATGCATTATCTACGCTACCAAGGATTCGCGCTCGCCAGCAAGGCCGCCACAATTGCAAGCTATAGGACACGTATTTGTGAGCTATACGCTTTTCTAGACGGTGCTCGCGCCATCATTTAGGAGCATGGATTGCCGGACATGCTTTCCACGGAGTACGAATTCTCAGCGGGGCGCGTGCTCAATCCATGCTTCGAAATGATGGAACGAGCTCCCGCTAGCAAAGCGTAGCCCTAGAATAGGGCCTACTAAAAGTCTCTATATACTAACTCTACCGGGTAAAGCGTCCCCTCCCGTCCTCCGACATCGATATAATAGCGACTTTTAGTAAATGGTTCTCAAAGGTCCGCGCGCTCCAGAGCTTGCATCGAAGTGGCAGCTCGAGCTCCCGCTACAGAGCGCGTGGCCTGAAGACACGATCCACGAAAACTCTCTATTAGAACTCCCAACGCAGGACAAAACACCTTGTCCCGTGTTTCACTTTTTTTTGTCCGTGTTTTTCAGCGTAAAACCCGAGCATACATTGACCCCCCCTTTCCCTAAAGCGCCCCGAGGGAAGCGTCCTCACCTGAGCACGGCTTCCATGGATGGGACGGCGGCGTTCCGCTCTACAGGACGTCCCGGGAAGCGACGGAGCGCGCTGCCCAACTCCGGCCACCTGTGGCAACGAGCGCGGAAGCGGTCCGCTGGCGAAGTTCCCCCTCTCCGTGCCCCTTCTCTCGCCTCGGCTCCGAGAGCGCCTGCGCCGCGCTCTGCGTCGGAAGACGTCGGCGACGCTGGCTGATTGACTTTTCCCCCTTCCCGAACTCGAGCGGGCGGCTGCACTTTTCAAGCCGAACGCAAAGCGGGCAGACAGAGAAGCGAAAGCTCGCGCTGGCAGAAATCAGGGCCGGCTTGCTAGAATCAGCGTCTCAGCTAGGACTATGTCAAAGAAAGCACTGCCGAAGCTAGCGCACGAGAAGTTTCAAGAGCTTGCGTGCCCCAAACTTGACAGGCTTTTTTTTTTTTTTGCTCTTAATTTGAAGTCTGGGTTACAATAGATCATTTTCGAAATTCACTTCTGATGACTATCATCATTTTAGCGTACACTCTCAGAAAAAAGGGTGTATTGTTACACCCTTTGTCCCACATAAGACACCCCGAAACTTCAGTTCGACGTTCAGCGCACTGACGACGATCGGACGGTACTAACTTTCACGAGGGGATTGGCCGTGTGGTACAACTTATTACAAATAGCCAAAGTACGTGTTACTGACCACTAAAAAAAAATAATCGAGATTTTCTTGGCCCTACTGTAAAAAACTCATTGTTTTCTTTGTGTGGTATTTAATACGTACTTTAGCTATTTTAATAAATTGTACCACACGGCTATCAAGCCCCTCGTAAAGTTTGGGGCCGTCTGTTCGTCGAATTGAAGTTTTGGGGTGTATTATATGGGACAAAAGGGTGTAAGGTGATACCCTTTTTTTTAGAGTGTATGGATTCTGTGCCGAACCAATAATGGCGGCCTTCTTGTAGCTGATGAAGGAAAGTTATTGAGGATACGCACTAGCAAGAGGAGTATATATGAGGCGTGTACGTTCCAGACGTCGGTACTGGAGTCAGTACAACAGGACGCACGAGTTCGATACCGCGGCTCCGACCAGTATCTTGGCACAAGTTGAGCTCTAAAAGCCCCTGATGCCGGAAATTCGATCAAGGTGCTTATGAGTCGCCACTTTCTACGGGTCAGTTCTTACGTTCACACCATCGAAACTAAAAAAAAAATAATAATTCAAGAAAGAAGTATGAAGTAATCAAAGAACCGATTCGCGGCTGTCATTGACGTTCGAAAAAGAGGGTGGCACTGAAGGTATTTTTTTTTAAGGTATATTCGTACCCGTGCCTATCTCGATCTGATTGACCATCGCACCCGCGGTGTGCGGTCGTGTATCACTACTGCGTGATGCACGTTAATGACCCCAGGCTAGTGGTTGTTGTACTGCACTGGCCAAACCTCTCACCTACAGAGTGCTACAATGTCGCCATACTCTTTCGATCTGAGCTCATGCTGTGTAAACATAGGACAACACAATTCCAAGGCGGTGGCAGATCGTTTCTTTATTCGATTTGCAGCATAAAGTATATTGGGATCCCGTGTTCCGATTATTATATGAGGCAACATAAAGCGGAGAAGAATATTTCGAAGAGTTATCATAATTGTACAACGTATATATATATATATATAGTACGTTATATCATTTGATAATTAAATCGGCAGCATCAGTGAATTTGCATGTCGGTCATAGGTATGTCCATACGGAGAAATTCAACATTCTACATAATCTATTCCAACCGATTATATAGTGTATATAAATTTATAACGCAATACCAAATGTCATACATAACGTATTGCGTGCATTTGATGTTTTGCTTTTACTTTTACGCCACTCTATTTTTACGCTTTTGTAAAACCTTTACTGAAACACCCGGTGTACGCGCTCAGCGACGTACTGCAATTTTTTTTTTTTTTTTTTTGATCCCTGACATCTGATGTGGCTGACAACTTGTTCCCGAAAAATTTTTTTTTTTATTATTATATTTTTAAAGGGGTTCTTCAGACTTTTCTTTCGTGGTCCCTGATTTGCCTGAAAATTTGCTAAACATACCAACAAACATCGCTGAAATAGTACCCTAAATATTAGACCAGAATAATATTTGTTTAGCGAAGTAACTGCGTTTACAATTTTTGTCCTCATCGTGTTTTTTCGAGCTGAATATTTCCACTGGCTACAATGAAAATGAGACATCATGCGACAGGCAGGGGTTCACTCTTTGGCTGTAAACTTTGTTCCCAACTGATTACAAGCAGTTTTATGATGTCAAATGAATGCTTATAGGAAGCTCGCTCTAACACCCCGCGGAGCAGCGCAAAAGCAAATGCTCGGCCATGCACAGGCTCGGCACATTCCATTTTTTTGACTGCCTGACTATTACTGACGTCGCGGCACAGGACGAATATATTTGAATGTTGGTTTCGGCATAATTTTCATCTGCCGATTTCGCGATAACTCTTCTGAACTTCGCGGTACTAAATAGCGTACCGGAAGGGGTAAAAGCCGGGGATTCAGAAAATATAGTTAGTTTGGGATAGTTCTAAAAGTCGCCGGGGAGTATCCCTTTAAGAACTTGTAAAACCTTCGCTGCAACACCCGGTGTACAAGTTCAGGGACAATTGACGTTTTTCTTCGGAAGAGTGATTCATGACAAACACGACAAAGACACCGAAAATGTTTTTTTTTTTCAAAGATACTTTTTTTTTTTTTTTTTGCGCTCGTGTCAATGTTGTTTGAGTCAAACAAAAGACTAATCGATCTGCCAAGAAAGGGATTTCCGGCAGTCATTGCTATTTTTCTTTTGTCGTAGCTGGCTCCGTTTGCTTGACATAACCAGCAGACAATGTACAATGCACAAGGAAGAAAGACCGACAGTCTTAGACGTTGTATGTAATGCGTCCACGCGATTTATTTTCAGCTAAGCATCTCGAGATTTCGCAGGTAGAAATGAATTTTATCTGACTAACACAGCGGTACCTAAGATTATCCCAATCGTTTTTATTTATTTTTTTTTTTTATAGTTCAAGCCGGCAATATGAAGGTGAACACCTTCCCTGGTTTCTTGCCTGTTTTACGGCTCCAGCTAAAGCTATATTAACTCTCAACTTCCCAAAAGGTGCGTGGCTTGGGGTCTAAACTTCGCGTTCTAGCCCTCTTCTGGAACAGAGCTTCTTCCAAAACTTGCAGCGGCGTCAAAAACAAGAAGAGGGCTGTTCACCTTCATATCGCTCATGGGTGTACGTTTATTAGGGAGTTTTAGAGAACCGTTTTCGCACGCCCGATACGGTATCATGTGCTCTCCGGTACGCACTGCGCATGCGCAGTTCGTCTTCTGTGGTGTAGCGCATGCGCAGATCGTACTGGAGGGCCCACCATGCCGTATCGGATGTGCAAAAACGGTTTTCTAAAACTCCATATTAAACGGTTTGTTACGATAACCTGTCATCGTGTGCGGCTATAGTTCGTTGCGATATAAGACGAGCAGTGGATGCTTCGCATCCGGCGCACGCCAAAGTGTTGTGGAATGGGGAAAGCTGTTCTTCGAGCCAAACGCGGCAAAAGGCAGCGAGCGCGGGCATTTATCTACTCTTGCCCCAATGTTGCAACAGGCTATAGCAGGGGTCTTAAACTAATTTTAGTGTGTGTGTGTGTGTGTGTGTGTGTGTGTGTGTGTGTGTGTGTGTGTGTGTGTGGAAGGGGGGGGGGTAAGATAGCCCACCCTCGTAATGTCGAGGGCCAACATAGGGCGAAAAAACAAACAATATACTTTAGCACACACACACACACACACAAACAGCGATGGTGTAGTTTGTAGCTATGGAGTGACTACAAAATCTAAAATACGACCATCCCGCCAGAGAGCTGAAAGCTTTCAATAGAACTAGAAACCAAAAAGACAGTCGTTACTCTCTCCCTCGATTCACTCTCGAATTATCTGAAATTAATATGTCTCAAAGGAAACTCTTTACATTCGGTAGTTTTTGCTTCCCTGAGGATTTTTAGAGCAGAATTATTAAAACACTAATGTCTTAACGGTATGTAAAACAAAACAACCCACGATCTAAAAAAAAAAAAAAAGATTAGGCCTAATTTTAAAGAGCAGAGATACGTTTTCAGTTCAAATGAAGGACGACACGAGGTACTTATTTATGGCGCGTGCAGCGCACGATGTATATATGAACGAGAGCTCGCAGTCACGGGCCACTTGCGGGTCACGTCCCAGAGTCGCGGGCCGCGTATTTGAGGGCCCCAGGCTATAGGGAGTATTCACTGGACGCCATATTTGTGGGTGCTCTTTAAAGCGCATGCTCAAAGCGAGGTCACATTAATAGACTGCTAAGACCGGCAATCTTGATGGTGTAAAATGCACGCTGAAAAAGAACTGTGGAAGCTCGCCGTCAGCACGCGCTCAGCAATCGCGCACACAGCTATGGCCGCCAGTGAATACTCCCTATAGGGAGCATTCACTGGCGGCCATAGTTGAGTGCAGGACTTCTGAGCGCGTGCTAACGGAGAGCTTCCACAGTTCTTCTGCAACGAGCATTCCGCACCGTCAAGATTGCCGGTCTCAGCAGACTAATAATGTGAGCTCGTCCCGAGCATGCGCTCTAAACATCATCCTCAAATGTGGCGTGCTGTGAATATGCCCCCCAGAGTCAGTGTACTCAAACAAACTATTCAAATTTGAGACAGTGAAAACGCAGCCTTCGTCTCGCGTTCGCAGAAAAATAAGCAAAAAATACATGTAATAGGGCGATAAATATTCTAAACGCAGATATATCAGTGACCCCTTTAAAAAGCACCAAATCAAGAGCAAAGCGGCAACAAACCAAACAATAAACAAGAAAACATTCGCTTCAGAGGCTTCACAATGTACGCTGTGATGTCGCATCAGACGGTGCATTTTCATTCGCTAACCGAAGGTGAGAAGTCGGCGTAGCAACTCCAGCCAAACTATCATCCGAGTTCTTTTGCTACGCAGAAATGTAATGCGATGCTTGTGCGAACGGTACCGGCGTTCGTCAAACAACTGATATGTTAGCAGGCTTTCACAAAAGTCGCGCCTTTCAAGGACTCCTCACGAACACGGACAACAATCACAGAAAAAAAAAAAAAAAAAACTTGACGCTGATATAGATATTGTGTAGCTGTAGCTGACAAATCTAATATGCAAAATGAAAAAAGAAAAAAATATATTTTAGCTTTTCCACTCTGGTGAAGAGGGAAGACCAGCGAAGCTGTACTGTGGAGGGAATGAAGTAATGGCCGGACGCAAGTCGGCAAGCCCGAGTGGCAAGGCTGGAAAGGTTGCGCCATCTATGAGCGACGGCGGCAAGCGGACAACCGGCCAACACAACACTCT